TGATAAGAGAAAGATATTTCTTTGGTATATTGAGAGATATTGGAGCTAGTGTAAGGCATGTTCGATTATTATTGGAACTTTGAATTGCATTAAATTAGCAAATTGCAATTGTGTATTAGTATAGTAAGATATGTTTGCAAAGGATAAGTAATGGCAGGCATTATTTCTGACTACCTATTTTGCAGATTGCGGGTATAATAACGCGAGCAATAAGAACAGGGAATGCATGGAAACGGAGCTTAATCTTCTTCATAAAGTAGGCGTAAAACTTTTTGCAGTTTATCGGAAGGACGCCAGTATGTGGTATTTAAAGGATTATAAGTTTGGGGAAGTGTGGCAAGAATATCTGGATGCTCATCACATAACTGGTGGAATAATACATTAAGTTAATAACTATCCAAACAATTCAATAAACGTGATGCATAATTAGTTTACCTTGTCATAATATGAATTAACTGTCTCATCCGTTATTTCAAGTGGAATCATTGAAACGGTTGTGTAGGTTGGTAGACCATCCAAGCATAAGCCAAATCTCCTCTGCTCAATACAATCAAATGGAATCCATTCCAAATAGGCATCGTTTGGTGAGTTTGATTGTAATTGAGATTTCTTAATAAACTCATCGAGTTGCTTATCGTTGCTAGTCCATCTATCGGATAATTGTTTATGTCCACAAATGCACCACACAGGACTACATCGGAGTATTCCACATTCCGTAGAGAGAATAACAATCGTAAAAGCGTCTGTGAGCAACCATGTAATAGCTCGTTGCGATAATACACCCAGTGGGAATATCTTCTAAACTGACTGACATCATTATTGTACTTGTTTGTCGGAAGTGAGTATATCCTGGCAAACTCACAAGTGTTGGTGTACACTCTTCGCTGTTTCCAAGGCATAGCAGCATTATCTTGTCATCCTTATGTTTGCGAATAGCATAGTAGACGTTGTCAATTTGACTTGACTCTATGCTGGTAATTTTCGAGTAGGGAATCCATCATATGTAGTTACATTGCAGGATTGAATTAAGTCAATTAAGTCGTTAATTGCTTTATTTTGAATACCCGACATAGTTGAATAAAAAGTTTTCAATACCCTGAGAAAAGTCCAGACAACGCAGCATTCATTAAATGTGATGTCCTCACTGGTCTACCGTTTCCCGATATTGTTCGACACGGATTTCTTATGCTTTCCATTAATTAGCAGGGCTGGAAGGAAAAAGTGGTGAAGGAACTAATTAGAGTGACCAAGCTGGACAAGGATTTAGAGTATAGCCAGCCGGGTGTGATTGTAAGTATATTAATATTCTGTCCAGCGATTATAGATTTCGTGAACGATTCTTCATGATCATGCGCTTACTTGCTACTGTTTTCAATTCACGATCATCATAGTGATACCTCATATGACGAATGCTGGAACCAATCCTCTATCCAGTAAAGATGTTTTGGAAGAGTTTGGTAAATTTAAGGATGTAGTAGCCATAGAAAAAAAAGACAAATTAAATATGGACGTTGGGCAGGCAGGAAAGTCTGGGTAAATTGGTAAGTGATTACAAATCGTACGTTGCTAGCAAAATGATTCAGTGATTAATGTCTTGTTTTTCCTGGTTACTGAAACATCACATAAGATCTTACGAGGAAGCGATTAAGACCGTACGTTCTCATGCACTTTCCGAAGATGGATATGCGCAATTGTTAATTGATTTTGCTGAGCCTGGGATGTTACCGTATTGTTGTAAATAAACGCATGGATGTGAAATAGTAACAATTTGCCCTATGAATATACACATATTTCAACGGCCATTCGAAAATGCTTATGAGCTTTTTTTTTTGTCGGAACATCAAACCAGACAATAAGATAATCTGCATACTGGCGATATCGCCCACTAATTTCTTGGGCCGTGCATTATGATCATTACTAAGAGTTGTCATGGCACTCTGTAACCGTACAGGTGACAAAGCATAAATGCTGTATATGGAGATTTTTTTATGATAAATGGTCCAGCGATTCGTAATTATTTACCAATATAATATCTTAGTTATTATTCTTTGTTATTTGTTGTGCATAGTGTGTGTAACCACTTCACTTAATTCCCAGTCAGTCACACACATCTCATTAAAGTTTAGCATGTGATAGTGTCAAAAATGATCAGTCTCTTTTATCAACACTTTAATGAACATTAGAAGCATCTACATTCTGATACAATGTTGTTGATTTTGTGATAATTTACATCCTTGCAATATTAAAAATCAATACTAACATATTGCGCAATGTTGCAGAAGAGTAACTACTACAAGTGAATTTTTGTATACTCTGCGAGGCGAGAATGACGGACATACAGACAGACGCAATAATGTTTTTAAAATCATCAACAAAACATGCATGTTAATATTAGATACTTCATTTCTGTAGTTATTTCAATACTCAAATTTGTAAAGCATCGTGATTTATTATCCAAACAATATTCTGTTGACTCGATAGAGTTACTATTACAACATATTAGATACAATTGCAATATTATAATAATGGAACTATTACATAAGTTACAACAGTTTGAAATATATTCACCGACCTATCACTAAAAAGGAGAAATAATAAAAGTATTGAAGCCTCTATGGGATGACTGAGATGCGTACACTGCCAACCGTTTTTGTACCGCATACGACATTAAGCCTTTTGTTCTTGAAAGATTGAAGAACCTTTCTCCTAAGAGTGAATCTAAAGGGTTCGTTTTTGGTCCCGGCGGGGAGGAAGTGCGTCAAGTCGATTGGAGACGCGGTTTGAACTATCAGTTTGCAGGGGGGGAAACTTTGAACTCCAGTGTTAAATTGTCCGTAAATGATAATGTCTCGGTTCAATTGGTAAAATGTGACGGTTCCAGATACAGGACGAGCACCAGACGCCCTAAATTCGGCATATCCAATATCCCCGTTAGCGCGTTTGACCGTAGCAGCGAGCGAAGGTGACAACACAACGAGAAGGCAGCAGACAAGGAAGAAGATTGTGCGAATGGCGTTTTGCTTCATCGTTTCGTTTTGTTTGAGGTTTGGCAAAGGATTAACCGTGTATTTTGCTTGTAAGAGCTTGGGTCGTTGAAGAGTTGATCAGGTTCGTGTCAACTGTATTGAATATCTCCGATGGAAGAAGATGGCTCATGCTGAATGGAAAATGCGGTCCTAATATACTAGAAAGGGAGAAGTCCCGTGGAGTGCCAAAAATATTTGCCTTCGAATCTATTCACATTAATTTGCTATTTTTATCAACTGTTGTGGTTTTAGAATAAAAATACTCAACCATTGTGCTATTTTTGCGTGGAGCGATAAATATGATAATTTACACATCAATATAGACATTATTGTAATTAAACTATCTATTTTTAGAGAATTTCATAGAACAAACACATATAGTGCCAGTTTGATTTACAATATTCTCGAACAAGGCAACAAGAATCTTTTAAGAGATAATGTATGCAATTAGGTTGCGTCATGCTTAAACATAACGCATCATTTTGTATGCATTAATTATTTTTGCAACCCTTATACATGCGTGCTGCAGGATAGAGAACGACAATACTACTATTGTTAGAAAGCATTAATTAGTACTGCAGTCCCGTTCGTTCAAGTAACGTTAATGAATCTGCAACTTGCGGAATTTTCCGTGTCGAGCTTTCTAAGCATTGGCGTTAATGAAGTCAGCTAACTACATGCAACACAACAAAGGCAAGGTAGCATGTGAAATTAGTAGTTTTTTATTGGTGGATAATTTTACAATCGAACTTGCAAATCAGAGATAACTACAATATATCACCTGTGTACTACTTGGATGTAATCATCGGATGATGTAGGCTTAGTATAGTATTAGTTACACTGATGATAAATTTGGATCTTTTTTCAAAAGCGGGATTTGCGGATCAATGTCATGTCAGTGATACAACAAATTGGAGACAAGAATATGCGCAAGGAAAAAAGGGCAGAAGCCGTCCCTGTCTGCAGCGCCCATGATACATACTATTTGCAGAAAAGCCTCTCTCAATGTACACTCGTTTCTCTACAAGTATTAATCGTACAATTAAGTTTCGAAATAATAATTACGATATTGTTACGTATTTTTGATCGAATTGATCATGCAAGGAGATCTTCCTGCAAAGACGTTTAACTCAATTTTGGTGATAAGTAATCGACAATTATATGATCATCACTCCCTTTTAAGAAACATCAGGTCATCATATTGCATCATTTAAATAATTCTGTGAAACAAACTATGTAATACACATTATAGATTTCCGTTAAACCTATTTTGTAAGTTGTGCAATGCTAACGTTAATAGTAAAAAACATTAATATTAATTAATTAATAATATTAAATTGTGCTAGGATAAATTTGGCAACCAAAATAAATCTGGTCCGTGAGATAAAAATATCTTTGCACAGAAATGGTTAATAACAGCTGCTGCGAGTAGAAAATTGGGCGCACTGGTATATCATTATCCGTATGTACGTTTGTTTTTAAATGCTACACAGCTTCGGCAAATTTGGTCAAGCTATTAACAGCCAGCGAATGTTCCCGTTTCCTGCCAGCTAAGAATATCGTAGTAATGTGTGGTTTATGAGATATATTTTGTGGTAAATATAAACGAGTGTTTTCTAATTTATTAGTTCTATTATCGATAATCAGATTTTGTAGTATACTTATACATCATTCTTTCAATCTACACACTTACTGTTAAATGTTAATTTCCTCAAACGTTTTAACTAATATATTGTTTTAACTTACTACAATTCAGTTGCTATCTTCTGACCTTTGATTATTCTTCAAAATATTTGATCTTTTGCAGTGGAATTTCTTCGGGGAAAATTTGGAACCTGTTCTCGAAGTTCTAATGATTATATTGTACCACACAAAAAAATTGAAAATCGAAATTTAGACTTACATCTGATGTGTTACGCACCGATCGCTAATACTAATAAGGCACGCAATATTAAATATCGCCTGTTTATGGCTATTATTAGCCCCCTGTCAATAATATACAAAACAGTAAATACTGTTTCGGATTTTCGGTAAAATTTCCCCGAGTACAACGTCGATTTGTTCTTGCGAGTCATCCGGTTATATAACAAAAACGCAAATAATCAATTAATATTCTTTTTGTGACTTTTAGTAGATAATCTTATCATTACGCAAAAAATTACCGCTGCGATAATTTTTACAGGGGCAGCAAGGATCGCCTGTAAATGTGGATCCGTACATTTCAGGGTACGGGCTACTGTATATTGTGATCGTCGATAATTTATTACTTCGAGACGTAAAGGACCAATGCCACGGATGGTTGATATAAGTAAATCCATAAATATAAGTCGCAGTTATTATTTGTTATAGTTGTATGAACTCGTTATGCTGGTAATTCATTACCTCGATTTAGAGCGAAATCTAAGAACCAAGGCCATAGTTTGCTAGCGACAAGTTTTGATGTATAAAATAGACAAAGTCTTTGCTGCAAATTTGGGTAATAAAAATCATTATCAAAGAGTTTCGCTCAATAAATCAAATATTCAAACAATTTATCGAACAAAAAATCGAAACTCGCTCTTATCCTGTGGTACCACTAAAAAATAAGGTAATTCTTCTCAAAGTAAACAATTGATGCATCGTTACGCTGATATTTCTAGGAAGACGAAAACAAAGCTTTATTTCCCAGCCGTACGGCAAATAGTCTCGAGTCTACGACTCACCTTTAGTAAAACTCTCAGTACTCATACAATCTATAGATGTTTAATTCAACTTCACAGAAGCCTTTCTCCTTATCTTGATTGCTGGTTCAATTTTCGCTGAAAAATTAACCTCGAGTTTATTTTTTGGACTCGTATGATATGCCGTTACACAAAATAATAAGCAACAGCAAAATTATAATGCGATCCGCACGCTAAGCGAAGATTTTGCTAAAAGACCGATGAACTCGATGAAAAAATAATCATGATTCATAATGAATTCGTAAAAGTTACAGGTTCAGCTATCTATCAAGTTTTTCTTATGGTGAGTATCTCATTTACGTTATTTCAGCGAAGCTGAGAGTACCATTTGGTGCCAATTGCCGAAAGTAGTCACATATAGCCAGAAGATAAAATTATTTCGCAGACATAAAATGTCCATAGGGAAAAGATCCAACATACTTTATATACTTCTACAAAATAATATCTCTGCTAGGAGATTTCAAGAGGGTGTTTGAAGAGTATATGACACGAATAAGTATCATTGGATCTGAAATGTTTAAGACCGTTGGACGAGGTCATTGCAGAGAAGGGGATTCAAGTTATCAGTACTTAAACCGGCAAATCTGTGATATCTATTGATGGTATGATCAGATGAGCATTCATGAATGTGTTCCAAGATATGATTAATGTGTTTTAGTTTGGTAAATTGGCGCCTATCGTTCCTTTATCAGGTTTTCTCCCCATTGTAAAATTTTCTATCGCTTTGGCTCCTGATAAGCATGGACAAATATCTCACATTGCCGTCCTATTGAGATGGAGATGCGATACCGGGTAACCATCGAGTTATAATACCATACCAGCAACCTGTTAAACTGTACACGACGCGTATTAGTTGCTTCGTTTGTGGAAAGTCGCAGAATCTATTTGAGCGGGTAAATTCGTTCTCTCAAAAAGCCCAGCGAATTCAGATGCTCTAAATAATTGGATTAGCACGGCAAACATGATCGCGCCTATAAACGCGATAACAATCCATACTAAATCTGATAATAATAATTTTTTTGAATAGATATCAGATCAATATAGTCATGTTCCACAGGAACTCGTTGGTTTGTTTGTAAGTGTTTGTACTACATGCACTGGCCGATGCAGAATGTTGCCACCAGTTTTGTCCAAACCAATTATTACCAGAAAGCTTGTTGTTGCGTGTTCAAGTAAGAATATATTAATATATTATCAACATGATAATTATCGACTAACTATATTTTTTAGGTTGATCTAATCGATATGAGAACATTTCCTGACAGGGATTACAAGTACCGTATTTCTCGGACTAAAGTACCCCCCTTGCATAGTACCACCCCACCATTTTGAAGCTCATGGAATGTAAA